GGGGGGGGGGCGGGGGGGGGGGGGGGGGGGGGGAGACAATTACTGCATTTGCTAAAACTGGAATAGACAATCACATTTTACAGAAATTCTCCTGAAAGTACACTATGTTCTTATCTAAATTAAGAACTAGGTGAATGTATATGTGACATAAAGAAATAAAAAGGAAAGGTCTCATCAGGATGCAATTGGTCTGAAAAAAAGTTTTAATCCACAGATTTTATATTAAAATTCGAATGACTTTTGAAGACGAGGAAGCATCAGTCTCCTTAAAGACACACCCCCTAAGCCAACGCCGAACCCTCCAGCCCTTCTGGCCCCTGGACATACCTAGGGACAAAGCAAACTGTTACCAACTGGAGGTGCCACCTGTGGAGGGGCGGGCAGGGTCCTGCTGATGCCCACCTGCCCCTGGGCTCCGTGCAGGGCCCGCCCTTGCTCTGGGCCTTGTCTCAGTTCTGCAAAGCACCTGCCTTCCTCCCGCTCATGCTCCCTCCCTCTGCCCTTATCAGTCACCCTTACCCCACCCTGGCCGACATCCTCAACTTTCAGCCCAAATGCCCATCTTCTGGGAAGCCTTCCCCCACACCACTAAGCTGCCAGAGCTGTGACTCATCCCACTCTCCCCTTCAAGCCATGAGGGCAGGAGGAGATGCATTCAGGGTGGGGGAGCCATCGCCTGTGTCAAAGACTAGGGCTGTTTTCGTGCTAGAAACTGTCAGCCCCCTGGTGACTCCACAAGAGCACCTTGGAGGTGGCAGGGCCCAAGGCCTGCGTGCAGCAGGGTACGGAGCGGCTCCTGACCTGGCTGCTACCCTCCCAGGAACTTGTGAGACAGCTGATCGTGCTGGTAGGCTGAAATCAGCTGTGGTGGGAGCAGTTACACCACAGTCAGGGGCAAACACTGCCCATCAGGGCCTTCCTCCCAGGGAAGCTCCTGCGGGAAGAACCTGGGCTGCCCTCAGGAGAAAAGGGCAGCACAGGGGGCGGTCCCGGGGGAGCTGCAGGTGGAGGGGAAGCCACAGGCCTGCTTGACCTCAACAGTGACACTGTGGGGATAGCACTCTGACGTCCTCGGGGCATGAAGAGGGCAGAACCAGGGGTTTTTTGTTTGTTTGGTGTGGGGTTTTTTAACAACACACATTATCTGGCAGTTTCTGTGGGTCAGGAGTGCAGAGCTTAGCTGCTCCTCTGCGACAGGCAACAGGCTGCTGGCAGACTCATCTCCTTGCTGCTGTGAGACTGACGGCCTCCCTCTGGCCGGCCGCCTGCCGGGCCTGGACACTGGCCCTCTCACCCACGGCAGCTTCTTTCTCCACGGCTCCAGGAGCTCGACCCGGTCCTCGCAGTGAACATACGAGAAAAATCACCAGTGCTTCTGGCAGGGGGAGAGGGAGGCAGCGGGACAGCAGTGAGCTCCCAGCGCAGAACGAACCATCTGAGAGCCTGATGGGCATCTCCTTTCCTCCTCGCCCTCACGGGTGAGATGAGGACAGCGGGGCCCAGAGGCTGTCATCTGCCCCAGGTGAGCAGCTGGGACCAGCTGCAGGCATGCTGACCAGCACATTCCACCGCGCCTGCAGCCGGGCTGGCTCAGGCAGGAGCAGACGCCTGCCACACGCCCGGGATTCCAGGCTCTGGGCTGGAGGTGGAGGCCTGAGCATGCGGGCTCCCGGGGGCTGGCAGCTGGGGCTCGGGGCATCTGGGAAGCCAGCTCCCACACTGGCCGGCGCTGGAGCACTGGTGAAGGGCGGTGTCACGATGCAGCATCGGAAGGGTCACTTTTCCCTGCACTCCTGAGAGGACCTGGGAAACCGAAGCTGTGTGTTTAGCAGTACGTGTTTCTTGCTTGAAACTCTGCGAAGACATGGTGCTACATTGGACTTTCCCTTTATATCCAACACAAGTGGAAGGAGGTCCTGCCGCCAAGTGCGGGAGCCCAGCAGGGAGCAGGCAGATGAGGTCTCTGTGACAGGAGGTATTTAAGGAAAAAAATACATCAAAACACTCCAGCATCGCTGCCTTCTGCACAGGTGTGATGACAATACTGCTGTTAACATTTCTGACAGTAAGATCTGCAGGAAAAGGATCATAAAGCAACTTGCATGGTTTTGCACTGAGCGTTTTCTTACAAACAGGTTTCTCAACTCCTAAGAGGGGAGGTAGTCAGGCTTCCCGCTCACCATATTGGCAGGCGCCCCCTCCAACCGCCTGCCATTGTGGTTCCCTCCAGGTACCTAAGCCTTCTGGGGGACAGGGACTGGCACCCTCACTTTGTGTGTAGCCAAGTGCTCCAGCCTGAGCCGTCATCTGAAATTCAAGTGCAGACGAGTGAGAAACACAGACGTGGAGGCACCTATATTTCCTGAGCGTCTTCCAGGTGCCAGTTCTGTGGAATTTTTCAATTTCAGAACCTTAGCTGCTATGGTGAGGACACACCGAACCACCTCCCATGCACCCCCAAGTGGCCCTTTCAGCGAGCATGGAGATAAAAGTGAGGGCAGACTTGACCCACCCCTTCACGGAATCAGGACAGAGCAGCTCTTGCTCCCTGGGAGGCCTGACTGTGCTCAGGAGGCAGACAGTTTAACGTCAGCCAGAGGTGCTAACCCCCATCTCGGTACACTTCTCATTTAAAATGCGGTTTGGGGGCTTGTGGCAGGTGAGGGTGGGAGGCCCACATTCTCCAGGAAGCTGGGACCCGGTCCCAGAGTGAAGCCACCTGTTGAGGACTGATGCTGCCCTTGGCATTGTCCAGGAAAGGGCCGGAGAGGCCACCATGCCCAGCAGCCGCCACGTGTGTGGCCTGGGCGCGACGGTGACAGCCGCAGTGGAAAGCGCGCCCCACCTGTCCTCCCCCCCCCCAGGAACCACTACCACAGCCGGGCAGCCAGAGGCCCTTGACCCCGCCCCCCCCCCCCCCTCCTTTTTCCCCCCCTTCCCCCCCCCCCCCCCCCCCAGGAACCACTACCACAGCCGGGCAGCCAGAGGCCCTTGACCCCGCCCCCCACCCCACCTCCCCTGCAGCTTTCAACACACGCAGAGCTCAGGCTTCGGGGGATGAGAGCAGGGCGGCTCCCGGGATGGAATGCGGGGCTCCCGGGGGCAGGGGCGCTGCCGCTCAGCACCCAGAGCAGGGCCAGCACCAGGCGGTGCCCACACACATCCAGAGGGAGGGAGGGATGGGCTCTAGTCTTTGTGGAAACCTTCTGTTCTGACTTTTAAGAGAAACGCGGGCGGAGACTGTGTCAGCCGGAGCCGGGCAGCCGCCAGGGACGCGGCCGCAGGAACCGACCCACGTGGGAAGCAGAGACTGAATTCCAATTCTGCCCAAACCCGCCGTGGAAACGAGGCGGTAATTCGTTCTGAATTACTTCTCGTTCATCTCCCTTCACGTTTTCACTTCCTCCTCTTTTTTAAGCATAAAGATAAATGCTCAGATGCCAAACTACTCCAAGAATCGTCTGGGGAAGTCGCAGCTCCAAGCTCCCCGCCCACGTGGGGTCCAGGGGCGTCCCAAAGGCCAAGCTCACGTCCGCATCGGAGCCGGCTCGGGCCTCTGCCCCTGCCGAGCGAACCTCATCGCACAGCAGGAAGGGGCTCGGGGAGAGGGAAGGCCCGGGCACAGCCGGACCCGCGTCACCTTCCCCAGGACGCGCTCCTGGATAATGGCGCCCTCCAGCGTCACACACTACACATGGACCAGGCCGCCTCGCCAGATTCCCTGTGCTTTTCCATCTGGGGCTTCGTCTTCACAATTAGGGAGATAGAAATGACAAAGATGGAGCCCAAAATATGAAACGTTCTGTTTTCTCATCATTATTAAGATATAAATTCCACCTAAGTTTAGAGGCACGAACATTAATTCAAATATTCTCTATTAATGTTGTATGACTAAGACCTACGGGAACACCACAGCATGAAGTTTTCTCTAGTAATTAACTTGTCTTTGTCCTTCCCTATGGCACCCCACTGAGATGCCTCCCTGGTGACACCTGACCTGTCTTTCCTACGTGATCAGCCAGTGGCCAGCCCTGGCACCATTAGCTTTGGTGCAGTCACACAACACAAGTTGCAGGGCTCCCTGTGTTTGCAGGTTCTCCCTGGGCCCTTAATAGGCAGCAAGTTGCAGTGTGTTCCCACCCGGGGGTTATGTGACAGAGGTGTTATGTCATGATACAGATGAATAAATGTAGAGATCTAATTGGGAATAAAAAAAAGGTTCCAGAAGATTATCAACAACATAATTATCTCTTCAAAAAGATAAAACCAACTACAGTGAAATGAGGCATTTCCCGGGGTCTGCATGTGATTAAAGGGAAGCGTGAGCTTCGACAGAGCCTGGCTGCGGACGGGTAGGTTTTGCCAGTGTTCGTGATCGTGTGGGGCAGTATTACAGAAAGTCCTTGTTAAAAATTAAAATCGAATCAAAGAGGCCCACGCATGGACCCACGGTAAGCGGGTGCCATGAAGTGAGGGGTATGAATTACCCAGTTGGGGACTCTGGGGTCCAAAGACTGACGGGAGTTTGCTCATCCCTGAAGTAAAGCGAGTCCTCTCATCTCAACCTCCTCTAAGAGCTAAAGTGGTAGCTCTCCCTTCACTAGACCCACGCGTCTCAGCGTGACTCAAACACGGGAGCTGGCTCCGCCCCCCATGGCACCCCACTCCTGGGCTCCGGAACCCTCTGGTCTCTGAAACAGCAGGGTCATCTGTCTTCACTCCTAAGCACTTGGGTTATATTTTACCATCAGCAAAGCTGTACTGTACCTGTTAGTTACTAATAATAGATTTTAACTAAAGTATAAAATAATTCTGTGCCTCTCTCCACAGATTAGGAAAACAGGTATTATCCATTTACCAAATGATATGTGGTTTAATAAAACCTAAATACATTTTTAATGGTATCCATATGTTTTATCTACTGTTAACATCTTTTAATTTGAGGTATTCACAAGTATTTAATTTCTGTAAATTAGAATAACTATAAGCCTGAAAATACAATAGGTATCTGAAAAAATATTGCTTTTCTGAGACAAAGTCACTAAAATAATGTGTTTCCTTCGGTGACTGAAACCCCTAAGTTATTTTCCAGCCAGGCCTATGATTACACATAATTATCAACATGCCATTTCTAGGTACGTACCCCACCAAGCATGCTACATCCAAGTGCTAAAAATTTTATCCACTCGATTCTGTATTCACAAGGATCCAATTGTAAGAGAGCTCTGAATTTTTCCATTGGCAGGCACAAACTTCTCCATTTCTGTTCAAGGTCGACTAATTCCACGTATTGCTTGTGGCTACACTGTTTAGAAAACACAATATAATACAGTTTACATAAGTTTAAAATCCCACAGAATCCTCTAATGCTGTGAGCATTTGAACACATACACCGTGTACTCCATGCAGGGACAGGTGGACTAACTTCATGGCCCTGTTAGCCCTGCGGAGGGAGGGGGACGTGTGCAGTGGGAGGGGCAACGTGCAGGGAGTGGGGACACTAAGCTTGGCAACAATGTTCACAGCAATTTACTTCTTAAATAAGGGCCGTGAAGCAAACGTGGCATAGTGCTGTAACTTAATAAGCAGGGCATGCTGGTGCTGGGGATGGCGTCCTCTGTTATCTGACTGTAATCCCTGGCAATCAAAACATTTAAAGTCCCACCCCATAAACATGTGAATAATTACATGGGAGAAATCTTTAAACTAAATTTCTTCCTTCTATTTCAAAACAAGCAATGAAAATGGGTAACTTCTGCGACCTGCTAGTACTAATCTGTGTGAAGGGCTTTCAGCAACACTAGCATGTCCTTCCCCAAGCTACCCTCTTTCCATGGTTATTCGTGTTCCCTTTTAATAGAGAGCCATGGAAAATCTGGTTTCAAAGTCAGTGTATCCGGTCCAGAAGCCCAGTACTTCCAAATGTATAAAGGGCTCTATGTCGTATACCTGAAACTAACATTATAGTGTATGTCAACTGTAACTGAAAAGTAAAAAATTGGGGTTTTTTTCCATGTATAATGGGGACCTGTTACTTTAAAAATCAAAATCGCCCTAACCGGTTTGGCTCAGTGGATAGAGCGTCGGCCTGTGGACTGAAGGGTCCCGGGTTCAATTCCGGTCAAGGGCATGTACCTTGGTTTCGGTCACATCCCCAGTAGGGAGTGTGCAGGAGGCAGCTGATCAATGTTTCTCTCTCATCGATGTTTCTAACTCTCTATCCCTCTCCCTTCCTTCCTGTAAAAAATCAATAAAATATATTTTAAAAATCAAAATCATTTTTAGTAATATGACCCACTCATCTGAATGCCGAGCCTCAAAGCTGGGTGATGTACTTCCTACTAACTCGTTTTTCTAAAAGTGAGCCAGTGGGTGGAGAAGACTCACTGAGGGCTGTCTGGCAGGGCCAGGCCCAGGCTGCCTGGCGGGTTGGAAACCAGCCTCCCAGGGCAACCGTCCTTCAGATGAGCACTTCGGCATGCACACAGCTTCATCAACACCCTTCAAAAGGGCTTTGCCATCCCCCTGTCTAAAATGTCATGCTTTCATATCTTTAGCCTTTTTTTAGTCCAGCAACACCTAAGCATCTTAATTTGATATTTAAAAGAAATTATATTTCACTTTTCTACAATCTAATCATGAATAGCTATTGTGGTTTCTTTCAATTAAAGAAAGGCACTGAATACAACAAATTCCTTTTTGAATGAAATTCAAAGGTTTATTGCAGGGGAAGCGACTTGCGAGATGATGGTGGTGGTTTGTGTCAGGCCTCAGGGGCACCGGCTTTCTCGCGGGTTAAGCCGACTGGTGGCATAGCCCTTATACCTGCTTGTGCAGCACTTTGAGCATTCCTTGAGTCAGGCCAGTATCTGTTTTCTGAGTGGCCACGGGCATTTCAATTCTGTCCTTTACAGGAAGTGGATCTCCTCTTGACAACGCTGAGAAATACCTAACAACAACAGATATCTCTGAAGACTCATCAATACACAAAAGGCAAATTAATACTAATGACTGCGCTTTCTTAAAGGAGCCCGAAGCCCAATAGTGATCAAGGAGGAGAGCTCTCGAGTCTGAAGGGCAGTCTACCCCGGTTCCTCCACTCGGCTCTCCTCCTTACCCTCTCTGCTGCCTCCGTGTCTCTGTCTGTGAAGCGGGGATAGGGACGGTTTGTCTCAGGGTTCCAGGGAGTACTGAGCGGACACCACACGCGCTGTTCTTATCCAGCAAATACCATGAGGGGCCCTGAAATGTGGCCAGATGCACTGGAAGATGCAGGCCACGGCATCCAAGGGCAAGGTCACGGTCCAGTGTCCACTGTAACAGCTGAGGTGTGGTCTTCCCTTTTCTGGGCCTTGCTGTTTTTCCTGGGGGTTGAGAGCATCCCTCTCTGCCTATTCAACTCTCAGGCACCCAGATCAGGGATGTTCTGTTGGCTCCACTGAGGATGGGCTGTGCCACTCTGCCATGTCAGAGACCACCCTCCCTCACACTTCACTGTTCCTGCCTGGTTTTGTTTGTTTTGTTGTTGTATTTTTTAGTATTTTTCCCCTTAATTGTTCCTTTCTGGGCTCCCGATATTGCTGCCTATGTTGGGGGAAAATAGGGGCACAGAAATGTTTTGGGGCAACAAGTCAAGAGGGGGCACACATCCAGCCTCTGGCTGGTGGGAGGGATACCAGGCAGTTTCTTCTGCAAAACCCACTCCCCTCAGGGCCAGCATGCCAGAGGGGGCAGCTGCTGAGCCCTGTCACATGCAGCTCTAACAACTAACACCGTGAAAAGAAACAACACATCCAGGGAAAGGAGCTCTAGACCAGAGCAAAGCCTTGCCAACACCTTGACTTCAGCCTGGCGACACTGATGTTGGACTTTTGGCCACCAGAACTGTAAGAGAATAAATGTCTGTTGTATAAATCCATCAAATTTTATGGGATTTTGTACAGCAGTTCATAGGAAACTAATTCACTGGTTACATAGTTTAGAGGGCAGCAAAATTCGATACGCCATTTGCTAAAACATTTTAGAAAAATTTATACTGATTCTTGTGGTCATAAAATTAAGCTTCTATGCCTGTTTACTGGAAAAGGGCAAAGAGCTTTCCTGTAAAATCAAAAGGGTTTCTTTTAATGGTTCTAAGGTCTGTTGACTTGGAACTTTAAAATTAGGAATGTCTGTTCCTGGAAATAGAACGTTTGCCACAAGCAACTGTGAAGGCTCGTTTGCTGTGAACCACACTGGGCAGAGTTTAGCCTTCCCAGCCTTGGGCTGAGTACCCCAACATGACTTCCGCGGTTCTGGGTCAGCCAGTCCCTAACCCTGGGGAGATTCCCTGAGGAGGAGGAACACAGCCATACGATTTCTCCTTGTAAAAACCACCTTGCAAATAAAATAAAGGGACTGTGGTTATAGTTTTATAATGCAATGCAGAAACTTTATACCCAATGCACTTGCTTTCTAAGTTTTGGTCTATCTGCTTAAATACCACTCTCCATTATAGTGGGATAAGGACACATATGTAATACCTTAATAAAAATAAAAAATAAAAAATAAAAATACCACTCTCCAACAATGGAGTTGTTGCTATTCCGTAACAAGTGAGCGTTTTGCAGTAACTTCTGGTCCCATGGTCAATAAACCACGGTGCTTCCTCGATGGATACTTAGGTGTAGATACCACTGATGCTAAAGTGAAGTCTTGCTGACACTCTGAGTGTCCTGGGCGTTGGACCACCGCTCCAGGACCGAGGATTCACCAGCACTCCCGGGCGCTTACCCCGCGGCCCACTGCAGCACGTCGGCGGGCTGGGTGCGGATCGCTGCCTTGGTGAACTGCTTCAGGATGTCGGGCAGTTCCGGTGGGATGTGGATCTGCTGCGCGCAGAATAAGGTGTCGGGAAGCGGCATCACTCTCCCAAGACTAGGACCAGGCTGGGACGATCTAGGTGTGCTGCGGGGAAGTAAGGACGGAGAGTCAGCCTAGGGCCGCCCGCCCTCCCCCAGGTTTGGGACAGGGACGGGGGGCGGGACCAAGGTCCAGCAGCCGGGTCTGGGCCGGGTCCTGGGTTTGGGATCGGGCCAAGAGCTGGTTTTCCCGGGGGTTCGGGCGGCCTGCGGGAGCTCTTACCCGCTCGTCTTGGCCTCGGAAATTGAGGACCAACCGTCCCCTCTAGCGGCCCAAGCACAGCTGCTCAGAAGCGCTAACCGGTGCTATTGTTTCGCAACGGTATCCAGGCAACCGGCACGCGCGCACGCGCGCGGGACGGACCCCGCCCCC